AAGCTAAGCAAGCAGGAATTAAGTCAGCTTGGGAACATGATAAAAATGCATGGAGTGTTCTTAAAATTCCCAAGTACTTATACAACACAACAATACAGGAGGACAAGTTTTTATTTCTTTTATATAATGTTAAAGAAATTGTGCGCGCTACAACTTGTGACCAATCATAGAGTACGCAATTTGTCGATGATTTTACGTTGGTACTAAATTATAGTTGCACTGCGTTGTTAGGTATTACTTTCTCAAGCATCATATTTCCCACGATTTCAAGTCGAATTCTGTAAATGTTATCAGTGAACCAAGACAAAAACAGTACATAGGAACATTTGTTTAATGCTCCAGAAATGAGAATGTTGTCTAGCCTTAGATCATATACAGACTTGTCAAAACTACGGTACTTATTACAAATAGTCAGTAATCCTTGTCCGAATACTTAATATAAATAGTCACACTTCAACATCACTATCATTGTCATCATCTTCATCACTTTCAAACTCTTCGCCTGCATTCCAGAAATCGAGTACATTGACTTCCTGGACATTGTCAACCATGTAATTACTAACTTCTGGAGAAGGTGTGATAAACTTTTTAAACATATTACAAGCACCAAAAAGTCGCACACGCTCATCGTACAGTTGCTTTGTATGGATGGAATAAAGACCTTTGAGATTGTTAGAATCTTTAAATTCATGGTGACTTGCCAACGAAGAGAGTCGACCTTCAATTTCAAGACATTGGTTGAAATATGCAGTGATGCAATTCAATCTCATGCACGTAAACTTAAAAACGAGCTTTCTTGCTACATGGGTAAACAAAGTCAATTAACATTTTTAAGTTTTACAAAGAAAAGTACACGTCAAGAGCGCGTAGTTCGATCTTTTTGTACCTGTGTATTTCTTTTTTAGGGAAAGAAGAAACCATCTTCTTCTACCGGAAACCAGAATTAGATCCAGGGTCTGTTTTGCTCTTACAGCCTCACAAGTCACCAAACTGGACCTGTATTGTGGATCTGACGGAGACCAACGAGTTTGAATTTTGAACTGTTTTTCCATCTTCAGAAGACGTTCATGCAGACTGACGAGAGAACAACAAAATACACAACTTATTAAATACAGATGCATAGTATATTTTAGAAAATAGACTAGCATACAAATCCAGTTATTTAAAACAGTCAACAACATCAACGGATAAATTATGAAAAAGTGTATACCACGCGACCTTGCGACGAGGAGGAGGTAGCTTTTATAACCACAGGGTTCATAAAGGAGCTCAAGTTGCGAAAGGACGGAAGGGAATTGCCAGCAAAATCCTTAAAATACATAAGGTATAGAAGGAAGCATATATAATGGATTGGATTGCAATGAGATGACTGTAACCCACAAACCATTGAATTGTACTGAGATGATCCACAAATTATTGGATTATAATAAAATTATTGTAATCCACAAATTATTGAATTGTAATGAGATGATTGTAATCCAAAAATTATTTACGTAATAACCATGTGCACCATGCGCAATGGCTTTACTGTAAAATTCCAGACTGATGGATGAAATGTTTGCTTTATGGACTGAGCCTCTGGGTACGGTCCATAAAGCAAAAATTCAGCCCGAAGTCTGTTAAGTTATTTATTATATGCCTTCACATAGGCAAAGCAAGCGGAATAGAGAGAACATCTACATTGCCTATCATTTACGTCACAATTTCATCAGGGTAATAAACTTATGAAGAAAATCTTCTTCAGAACTCATATTTAAAGAAGAGATACATGTTTTGTTCAATGTTCAATTTTGTCTTTTTTCAACGAAGTTTCTTTCAGGGAAAGTCACTAAGTTCACTAGGTTTTGTGGGGGGGAAAATCTGTGATGCCCATAAGCAATTACCGGGGGATTCTGGACCCCTAATTAACCAATCAGAGTGCACGTACTATCGCAGCCATATAATAATGGATTGTAATGAGATGATTGTAACTCACAAATTATTGCATTGTAAGGAAATAATTGTAATCCACAAATTTTTGGATTGTTATGAGATAATAGCATTCACAAATGATTGAATTTAAATTAGATAATTGTAATCCACAAATTATTGGATGGTGACGAGATGATTGTAACCCATAAATTATTGGATTGTAATGCAAATATTGTAATCCACAAATAATTGGATTGTAATGAGATGAATGTAATCCACATTTTGGTTTTGTCCTCGGGTACCGGTACACAAGAGCCGATACAAAAGACCAAAAATACATAACAGCTAACCAATGACTCCTAAACAAAGAAAATACAATGGTTATTCCTTTACGCACCGGTACAGCACCGGTGCACGAGGACAACTAGACAGTTCATCAGTTATCTGGAATGCGATGGATCGTTGTGGGACTATATATTAATACACATAAACATGCTAAATGTGACTTTATTTGTAGATTGGAATTTTTATTTTCAGTTCTCGAAATGACAATAATCTTAAATATAAAATAACTGTCATGATATTCATTGTAACTGATGGCGAGATGACTGTTAAGCCGCACATGCATGAATCACTATTGTGAATACTGGTACTTGTAGCCCGCAAATAAATGGCTCTCATTAATTTAAATGAGATGCACGATTACTGGTTTATAAAATATTGTGATGGTTTGCTTACCTATCGACCCGTGAATTTTTGAGAGGTAAATAAAGGCTTAGAAATATTTATAACTTATCGATCATATCCGATCATCAAATCATCAGACAAGTGCCTCGAACATTAAACAAAGTAGAATACCTTTTATTATTAGTGATACTCACCTTGAAAATGATCGATAAACCAAATTTACGACCAGAAAGGTGTCGGCTAATTGCACAGATAAAGCGTGTGAGCTTGCAAATAAAGGAAAAATATATCTCTTCTGAATCGATCGATCCGAATTAGCGCGCCAGTGATACGTAGATTACACACGACATTTTAGCTACTCATTCACCCCTCCCCCAGGTCTAGATTTGTCAATAGGTCTATCCCGATTACAATGCATTAATTGACTGGTTACAACGTCATTACAAGTCCAGTAGTTACTGGGTTACAACGTGAGGAACGGGTGGACCGTAAAGGTAAACTGCGGTACTCATGCAAGATGCCGCTGGTATGTCGTGGGCGCATCTGATTTAGGACGATGATATATATTGCTTTCCTCTATCTATTTCTCTATCTACGTTGGATCGGAACTCTACTTACCGCTTTATTATTGTAAGTTAGCCATCTTACATTGCATATCATCTCTAGGTATATGCATCGTTTTTATTGTGAGCTTATAAGGACTGTATTTTAGTATAGCAGGTAATTTAGTGTTAACAACTGGGTTGAAAACGTAAATTAGCCACCTTAAAGGGTAAAAAAGCTGACGTTTCGAGTGTTAGCCCTTCGTCAGAGCGATTAGAGGAATTGTGGGTTGTGTGTGGGTTTATATGCAGAAAGTGGAGCTACGCCATTGGTGGGAATATGGTGACGGGAAAACAGGAATAAATTAGTTGAATGAAAAGCGCTCGTTGATTCCGTGGGGATTAAGGGTGCCGATTTGGAATATAAATTTTTGTTCTAGTGTTTTACGGCTTTCCGAACTGCCTAGATGTAAGGAAAGGCCGCAAACTGCTATATGTTGTTTAGAATGATTAGAAAGATTAAAGTGTCTAGCGACTGAACACCAACACCAACTAAATACCATCTTTCTTCGGAAGAGTGGTCGGCACTAAAAAGTCTAAAAAACGCAGACATTGTCATTAAGGCGGCCGACAAAGGCGGTGCAGTTGTTGTTTGGCGGGTCGACCTCTACCAAAAAGAAGCTTTGCGGCAACTTTCCGACACCTCCTTTTATGCTAAAGTCGACAAAGATCTCACTTTAATTAACCAAAACATTGTCAAAAATACGATTAACGATCTTATAGCTAAACAAGAATTGCCGGCCACAGCTAAAAATCTCATCATTACCACTCCTAGAACTTCGTCTATTTACTTTTTACCTAAAATCCACAAACCTAACAACCCAGGTCGACCCATCGTTTCTGCCTGCAGTTGTCCCACCTAACTTATTTCCAGCTATTTAGACAAAATTATGGCACCTATCGTCAAAACTTTACCGTCTTACATTAAGGACAGCCAACACGCACATGAAATTTTTCGTGACTTTAGTTTCCTCGACCAAAACAAACTTACTTTCACCATGGATATAGCATCTCTTTACACTGTCATTCCCAATGACGAAGGTCTCCGGGCCCTCAAACATTTTTCTATCAACGCACTGTTAAGGAACCTAGCTCTGAAATACTACTCCGTCTGGCCGAACTAGTACTCACACTCAATTGCTTTTCGTTCGGTGATAACTACTACAAGCAAACTAATGGCGTGGCCATGGGTACTAAAATGGGACCCAGCTACGCCAATCTTTTTGTAGGTTTTATCGATCATCAATTTTTTAGCCAATACCACGGCCCAAAACCTGAACTTTACGGCCGCTACATCGGACGATTGCATCGGCGCTATCTCCTCTACCAAAGAGAAGCTCACTCAATTTATAACCGCCGTCAATTCCTTTCATCCGGCTCTTAAATATACCTAGGAAATTTCAAAATAAACATCAAAATTTCAATTGAAGGCAACAGCTTATGTACTAGTGTTTACTACAAACCTACAGATCCACATAGTTACTTGTTGTATTCATCTTCACATCCATCACACGTCAAGAACTCCATACCTTTTTCACAGTTTCTTAGACTTCGTCGTTTATGTAGTGACGACTCTGATTTTTCCGAAAAGTCAGAGGCAATGTGCCAGACTGCTATACTCCCCACCGACGCAGCACCACAGTTTCTTTAGAAACTTACCCCTTTATTCATCTGTATTTTAGTATAGTTCGGTTGTTATTTGTATCGTAGGACTCCTTCATCGTTGTACAACAATTAAAACCGTGTCAAGCAACGAGGAGTGTATTTCTTCAGAGTACTTCCATATTTATTCTTGAATGCTTCAGGCATTGTTCTGCCTAACATGTCCCTCGAGGGCCAAATGTTCATGTGGCCAAACTTAAAGTACATGAAATTGATCCATGTTATGACTATCCGACTTACAGTTGGTGTTGACACGTTGAGCAAGTGAGCAAGATGATCTTCATGAAATTCTTGTCTTAGTCTGCACATTACAAGAAAAAATTCGTCCATTGGCCTTAAAGACCTAGCTCTTCCTTTTTTCGTGAAAGAGTCCTCTGACTGATCCTGGTCATAATCAACAGGAACCTCACCATTTCAGAACGCCAGAAAGCAATGTTTTCTCCTCGTTCTCCGGGACCAAGATAATTGTAAACCGCCTCAAAAGCATCCCAGTTATTAAAACCATTGTAAAAAGCGGCTGTATTTTTCTTAGCTTTCAAGTTCTCAAGCACAAATTGTTTCTTTATAAGGTTTGTGATTTGCCGCTGAGCATTTTCTAATCGCAATTTTATAATGTCATTGATTTCCTGTTCTAATTCTTCTATTCTTTTGTTTTTGTTTGCGGTGGTTTCCGTCAAATCATAACATTCCTTTTCTGGCAAGATTATATTCTGATTCTCAACAATCCTGGTGGTCAAACCGATACTTACTTCCACTTTTTCTTCCAAATCAAATTACACAACAATCTCTTCAGATGCATTCAATCTAGATGTAAGTGTTCCTTTCTGTCTGTGGTCTCCTCTTGCGAGGCCACGTGCGAATCCAGGAAAATATCTGAGGTATGGCGCCAGGTTTTTTAGACATACTTTCCCCGCAAGAGTCTTTTTTAGGGCCTGTTTACATGGAGGTGGAGGACCCCAGATAGGTGAGGTAACCCGCCTAGCCGTGGTCGAAAAATAAAACACGTTTAGGGCCTGTTTACATGGATGTGGGGGACCCCAGGTAAGTGAGGTAACCCGCCTAGCCGTGGTCGAAAAAATAAACGCGTTCACATGCAATCTTACAACCCCGGGGCGCTGGGGTGAGGTTTCCTGAGGTTGTTGTTGCGCTTGCAATTAAGGAGTTTGAACAGAGGCGTCCCAAGCTCACATCTCGAGAAAGACGAAAGATTAATTCTCGGACACATATGTATTTATTCATGAAAGCGTCACCCTTTGTGTTACGCAGTGTCAGGTTATGCGAGGAAATGTGGACTTAATATGATATACGGAATAGTTTGGGAAACTAAATATGGTCGATTTACAACGCTAAATATTCCGAAATGTGAACATTTTACACTCCTTGTCTGTCCGTTGCGGTTTCGGGTGATTTCTGCCATGAGACGGCTAGGAAATGTATGAATTTTTAAAACACACATGTTTCACTTTTCAACTTTCTGCCATTAACGTGGCCCCGGCTAGGCGGGTAACCCCACCTTGAGACGTTTACATGGCAAATTGTCGCCCCGGCTGACAGGGTTACCCTACCTGGCAGACCGGTCCTCACCCCAGCGCCCTGGGGTTGTAGGATTGCATATAAACGCGTTTTATTTTTCGACCACGGCTAGGCGGGTTACCTCACCTACCTGGGGTCCCCCATCTCCATATAAACAGGCCCTTAGATCTTCATCTCTAAAATGTCTGGAACAGACCTTTGTTGAGTCAGATATTTTTAAGTCTTTTCCTTCGTCTCGCCTGATGGCCTGTATCCATTTCTTCTTCATTATTTTTTCTCAAGGAAATTGGAAGTACGACACTTTCAACCCATTTTCTTCATGATAGCCTTTTTTTGGTGCATTCTGGAACGCAGCAGCGTGTAAGCATTCCTTCCTGATCCTAAACATGTATTCTATGCGGTGATTGACCCCAGTTGAGTATTATTGTCCTCACACAAAAGCAAAAACTTGACCTAAAACCACCACACGTGCGCTGTTTACATCTAAGAGACCTTCATGGCCTTGTTTCCATGCAAAATAGTCACCAGTTCCGCGCACCTTCAGCCATTATGAAAGTTGTGTATATCACAGACACTGGGGAAGGTTCTCAGAGGAGTTACCTCTTTTATAGCTTTAAAAGTGATAGCTTTCACAGCAGTTTAAAGTGATTTAATTTTTAAAATACAGTTGACTTCTCCACTAATCACACAACACCTATGCAAAGCATGTCAATTATAAATAACAAATATGGAGAGTTGCAAATTACTTTCAATACTTTATAGTGGAAGCAATGTGTTCCTTACCATCATTTTTCTGTGTTTTCTTTCCATTTACAGACTCAAGCGGCTGTAATGTAAAAAAAAATTCAAAAAATTTTACTTTACTTCTTAAAGCAAGAAATCACAAAACTAAACAACAAGAACTCTGTGAAAAATAAAAAAACTACCCCCCTGCAAAAAAAATGTACCACTGTTTTTGATACTATCCTGTTACTCCCCTTTTTTTTCACTTTTCTTTGCTTTTAATTTGTAAACACAGATCATGCTTCTTCTAAATGAGAAGAGTTTCCAAGAAAATCCAAATAACTCATAGTTGAAAAAGTATGTAAAATGTGGCAACATATAAAATACTGAAAAATTATTGAGGCTGGAAGAAAATCACAAATTTTTGGTCATTGAAACACCGAGATCTGTCCTGCTTTTTAATTATGTAACATCTACTTTTGCATGTCCCAAGCAAAATTTAAAAAAATAGCCCTCGACAGAGGATTCAATTAATCCAGGTTAGTAGTTACTCGCACGCTATATCATGCAGCCACATGAAATCTACAGTATTTAGCCCAAAACTTGAACGCGATCTTTGAAGAATGGTTGTGATATTTAAATTTAACAAAAATACTAGCATAAAATGCAACCGAAACCTTACCTTGCTGAACTAGCTCCGACAGAAAAGCACAACTTCGATCACCAACTCAAAACCAACAAGGACAGCCACGAGGCAATGTCAAATTCTCGTCTTCCTAGGCTTTCCAACGTATCGAAGAAAATTTCGCACTTAAAAGCGTTATCAAGGCATCATGGATAGTCCATGAAACAAGGATAGTCCTTGAAACAAGGATAGCCAATAAAATTCTCAAACTTCGAACAATTTTGCATTGCTTCCCCCCCTGGTTGGGATGGGAAGTGACACGCAGAAGACACGTTCACAACGCACTTTGATTGGAAGAACTAAAACCGCATTCTATTCGCTTTTAGGTGTGAGGACATAACTACAACGGAAGACACAACTGCAACGCTACGAACTCCTTCTCTAAGTGTGTTTTTGTGCCTAGTCCTTGCTCTTTCGATGGCAAAGAGGTCATTGCACTTTTTTAATTGCACTGGGTCTTACACGAATGTATCCAGGCCTCAAAAATAATCAAGATGGAGGAGAAAGCAACAGGTATGAGAGTCCACAAATTAAAACCATTTAATAGTCTCTGACGCTTTGATCGCTTTTATTACCCCTGTAGTTATAGATAAAGAATGTATGTTTAGTTACTGTGGCTGGTTTTTCAGGCTTTCATTTGAATCCCTTGTCAATATTCATAAAAAGAATGCGAATATATTCCGTCTGTGTTGTTGCTTCTTATTAAAAACCATAACTTGAACATATGTGCTCTCTGATTTTATTCTGATAAAGACGAAGAAGGAGACATGGCCCGTGTGAGGCATCGCCAGCGGCGTAGAGTGCTGAAGTGTATTACGGGGTTGGTGAAGAGTCCGGAAAGTCAACAGTAATTGATTACAGTGACATCAATGGTGCACATTTCAAACCTGAAGTGTATTTGGAAAAAATTTTCAAAGAGAAGTCCTCGAACGACTTGATGGAAAAAGAAGTAGATGTATCGAAACGTAAGAAACATTTGATACAACAGAGATGGTAATCGTGTAGTGTAATCGCATCAATGTCAGTATTTGAGCAACTGAGCACTTACCCATCTCCTCACCCAACTTTGACCTTAACTTGTTATCAGTCGACTTTTGCTGGGTTAGGGGAGGGGTAGGTGTGCAGTTGCTCAGATACTTCACCCATGTAATCTTCTTCTTATTAGCACTGCCCAATAATATTGTGTTTGAAATAGTTACTGACTAACAAGGACTATTTTGTTTTAAATTCCTATCCAAATTTGCCCTGTGTTTGTCCTATTGTTATATTTATATTTGATTTACAGAAATCAGATCGTTGGACAGTGAGATGCAGACCCTGCTGTATGAAAACTACAACAAGTTTATTAGTGTAACTGATACAATACGAAAGGTACTTAAAATCAAGTATACTACACCTCTAGGTCTTTATGTATGGCCTTGCAGTGTGTTGGTCCCTCAACGCTATAGTACACAGTTTAACAACTAATGATCATTATTTTGACGCTGCCTTGTTGTTGACGTAGCTGCCTTGCAGTTTGTTGGTCCCTCAACTTAGCGCTCTTCATCAACTAATCATTTTATTTTTTCACTGCCTAATGGTACATGCTCTACTTAATACCAAACATTTTTATTTTTCATAATTTTACACTTACTACACTTTCCACACACACTTCCTTTCCCCACTATTTTTGTGGAGATTTGAGAACCCTTTCATTTGGGATTCCATAACTTTACACCTGCAATGCCACAAAGGTTGCTGGATAATTCCATTGCTTTGTATAATTTGTTTTAACAAAAAACAATGGTTGAATGTTGGCGTTTGTGGCCGCTTTTCAAAGGGAAGGGAGAAGGGAATATTGACTGAAGAAAGATGAGGGTGCGCAATGCGCTTAGTCGATAAAGAATGCATCGTGTGACCAAGTGCGGGCGGGCAAGATATGCTCGGCCAATCAATTTACAGGATTCGTTTCATCTCTTCTACTCAAGGAGCCAGCCAAATGATAAATCGCGGTTCAACGCTCGTCTTCAATTCAATAATGCCTGCCCGTTAAAGCGAGGTCCTTGTCGTGTGGATTCTGCTCATACCTCGAGTAATTTGTTAGTTTCCCTTGTAACAGTGTTAAGGCTTGGTACTAAATCCTTCTCCTTTTGTTCTTTATCCGCTGTCTCGTCAGTCTGTTGCTCCAAAGGCTCAGTGCGAGGCTGAATTCTCGGTGGTATGTATATTTTTGGCAACCCATCCAGTTGCTCCTAAAGAAAAAAAGGTCACTACTCAAGCGAAACAGAGGGATGGGTACTCTAATAATAATAAGAGGAGAGAGTTAAATGCACTGGCCACCATACCTTCATATGCTGACTCTTAAGACGGATATTTTCGTTTCTTAGATGCTTCAAGGCAATGTTAGGCGAGACAACTTGAATGGAAAAAAAATCAAACCAATCAACACAAAAGAGACCAACTAACTTTGAGACGCGCACAAAAGATTTCAAGCCAAAGCAGGTTACATGAGTTACATTGGTTACAAGAGGCAGGAAAAAAAACCAAAAGCTGATGAGAAAAAGGTGCCTGACACAATCACATCTTAGGTCAATCTTTTATTTTGCATTGCGCATCGTTACTTCGCATAAGTTCACTCTTGATCAGCCGGCGAATATTTCCAGTCACGCGAATGACCTACGCTGACTACAATGCACAGATGCGTGATACCCATGGCAAACAAAATTAAATCAATTCGCGCGTTGCGCCGAAAAGTCCAACTGACTCGTTCTCTAATTAACTTCTTACTTAAAAGAATCTTCGAGGCAACTCTCAGAGTAACAACAACGTAACTAAAACTTTCAATCGCTCCTGACGGTTGTAACACCGTCCGTTGCGACTTACAAGCACTGTCGTCTAATCTGGCAAATGTTTTACCTGAGCAAGTATTATAGGTGAATCCTGCTCTTAGCAGCAGCCGCAGCTGATAGAAAAGGAACAAAGAATAGCAAACAATTTCAAGATGGAAATACAACATTCCATAAATAAAACAGCACAAAAGTGCGGGCACCATAATTGCATGGCGGCTAGTGAAGTCACGGCCTCCACGATGATCACTCAAAAGGCTTTACATTGTAAACTCAGTTGATATTGTAATACCTCCCAACGACGCAGTGCTACAATTTCTTTAAGAAACTTACAACCATTAAAATAACTTCTGCAAAGCTTTTCTCGTCTTTGTACACCATCACTGTTTACTTAAGACAATCGGCAACTTAAAACTTATTCTTGAGAGAAAAAATTGAAAGTTTCCACCATAAATTGTCATGATTTAATACACTTCGCCCTCACTTAAAGTTATTGTTTTAATTCTGATTGGCTGGGCAAATGACATGAGTTCTCTTAACCAATCATGGAGCGAACTAAATCAAAACTAATTACATTACTTTTGACCATCAAATGAAAATTGCTCTTAAAAGAGGACTCTTTTACTAACTTCCCTCTTTCTTTCGACCTCTCTTCTATACCACAGGTAAATCAAAATAATAAAGGAAGAATTTTTCAGACATCTTTCAGAGCGGTAAAGGATATGATGTCAGCATGAATCTCCGTACTTGCAACAGCCGCGATGCGAGATGATGATGAGGCATGGCGCGCAAGATCGGCCAGAAGGGACTTCTTTGAGTAAGCATCCTAACGTTTCTTCATGTCAACCTTCTCCTTCTCCAAGGTGTCGATGTCGTTCTGGAGAGCATCCATAGTTTCTTCGAATTCCCTACGAAAAGAAGTAAGCCACATAATACTGATTATGTATGGACGATTAACTGACACCACTTCAGCCGTTATATTAGTGTGCGACTACTAAAGTACAGTGTTTATTTCAATGAGCTATCTTTCGAGTTACAAAAACCCTTGCTTTCAATGTGAAGCCAAGTGCAAAACTTTTCTTTTTAAAATGAGTTTTATTTGTGTGTATATCAATGATTTTCCTACTGGCAAAGGCATCGAAAATGTCGATAATGGTTTGTTCTTGACATAAACATAAAGTTGGTGGAAAAGGCCTAAACAAATAATTAACTAAGGGTTAGCTTGCGCTTTTTTTTGTTATTACGGTGAACTAGAAAGAAGACGACGCATGTTTAAGAAACCTAATATTAGTATTGTACCACACAGATGAATAGTGCTCTCCGCGCACGCTGATTGGCCAGTTCAGAAGTGATAGGCAAGTACTATTCACCTTCGAGCAACCAAAAAGACAGAACAGAAAGAATCAACTTTAATTACTGTCCATTTTTCGGTATATTGCCATAAATTAGTTAAAGTAATTTCTGTATGGTGTATACTAAAACAATTATTCACCACGGCGTCTAAAAACGTGGTGGATATTTACCTCTACTTCGATTACCATGTGTTCACTATTCGATTGATACTGTTTTGTCAATGAAAATAGTCATACACTAGCTAGCATTGCTACTGCGTCAATCAAAAAATCAAAACTTCATCGTAATTCGAAACCAAAGTAATTACACAACCCGTGACAAAGTTTTATTGCAGTTACCTGTAAAACAGTGACTTATAGTAGGGACCTTAAGATCCGAGTACGGCAGATGTCTATGACGGCTGTCATGACCGAGGGAGGACTGGGAAGAGGTTGCCGTCCTAAGGCTCGAAAATTATCTTAAAGAGACCAAATCGAAGGCGCGGGCGGCTCTGTTTACATATTTTCGATTTTTATCATAAAGTACTTCAGTCAAGGCTTCCTTTAGAGAGAGTCGTAGCATTCTTCTGCAAAGTTTTGATGGTGGCGATATATCGGAGGATGAGCTTCTTCTTCTTTATGACGTTAACACATTCCAAAGCCCAGATTTTCCTCATGAAAATTATGGGAAATTTGACCTTAGTGATACGAATGACAGTGAGTGTTTATCCGAGTTTCGTTTTCGTAAGAGTGACCTTCCCGTCCTTTCCGAGGCCCTACATCTTCCTAACTACTTTATATGTCAACAAGGAACAATATGCGATGGAGTTGAAGGGTTGTGTATCGCACTTTGAAGGTTTGCGTACCCATGTAGAATCACTGATTTAATTTCACGATTCGGCCGCCCAGTTCCTGAGCTAGGTATGATTTCCAGCCTTGTGGTGGATACAATTTATCAGGAACATAATCACAGAATAACTCAGTGGAATGATACACTCCTGAACCCAGCACTTCTAGAAACGTACGCTCGTGCAATTCAGCAAAACTGTAGTCCATTACACAACTGTTTCGGTTTTACAGACGGAACAGTACGGCAAATTTGTCGACCTGACCAAAACCAAGGGATTGGCTCAGTAAGTAAATTTTATAATTGAAGTAATAAATCTGTTTGGTTAAATTTTAAAATTTCATACCAACCATAAACTACAGAATCACTTATGTTGATCTCATTTTAGAGGGCAGAAGGCATGATTCAGCCATGTTGGCCGATTCTGGTCTTCTTGATGAGCTCGAGCAACATGCTTTCTCAATAACAAGAGAATCAGTGGCCTTCTATGGCGACCCGGCCTATCCCCTACGTGTTACCTTACAGAGGTACCTTACAGAGGTGCAGGAATTACACCGCAAATGGAGCTCTACAACAAAGCCATGAGTTCTGTTCGCATGGCTATAGAGTGGCTTTTCGGGGACATTATAAATTATTTTAAATTTTTAGACTTTAAAAAAAATTTGAAGATCTCACTCAATGCAGTTGGCAAAGTGTACATTGTGGCTGCCATTCTGCGAAACTCCTAAACCTGTATGTATGGCAACTCAACTTCAGAGTATTTTGCTTTAAATACTATCAAATCATATCTAATGTAGTTAACGACAAGGAGATATGTTCTTCAGTGTTTTGGCGTTCTTTGGTGGTGTGTTGGCCGTTTGTAGCGCTGTTGCGTAACTATGTTTGCGTTTGTAGCGTTTACCATTGTACGGGAGCATGGGGGCAGATTCCTGTCCAGCGGTATGTTGCTTTGGCGCTTCGCAGGCCATGTACCTACGTTTTATTTGCGTTGTACTCTAAGATTTGTTAGCGTAGCGTTTCCCTTCGTTCTCCTCCCTCCATCCGCTTTCTTGGTTTAGGGTCTTCCCCTCTTTCCCGGGATTTTTTCCCCCTTATTTCGGGGGTTTGTGCATTTTACTTCCACTGGGCTTCTAGCCTCAGTGTGACGGGTGCTATAGTGGCGGGGCTCGTGGCTGGGTTTCGGGTTGGTAGGCCTGTGGGTGTTCTTCCGCCTTCGAGTGTAATTACAAAACAACCAATCAGATTTCAAGGCTTGTTTAAAGTAACCAATGTAACTGCAGGAAAATGAAAGACAAAGAGTAACATGTGGCAAATTTTGCAACCTTTGTTTCCAAAACTCTTGTTTTTTTCCTCCTAAAAAAATGGATGAATTTAATTTCAAACTAGCTCATTACTGCATCAATAAAATATTTGAACTGACCAAGTTCTCCACTTGGGCGATTTCAAAATGGATGTGTAAAGAAGTGGTAATTGAACCTCGTGTCGTGCAATTTTGGTCCGAAATCATACTTGTGATTTCAAATCGAACTCACGTTGTGCGCTTGTTCAAACAAGTGTACAAAACAGTCAAGAAGCATATGCCTGAAAATGCTTAAAACTAAATTCATCTTGCACAGTACAAAATCAGGGCATAGTTTTGTTTTGTTTTTCTAGGAGTTTTCTGATAATTTGAGACTGCTGCTCGTACATTGAGGTGAACATCTGCTTAAAATCTTCCATCTGTTCTTGTTGCTGTTTAGTTTGCTGCAGCAGGACCTGCATCAAATCCTGATGTTGCTTTTTGGACTGCTCCTTCTTCTCACTCTCAGCCTCAAGTCGCTGCTTCAGTTGCTGCATTTCTTTCATTTTCCATTTCTGAGCGAAGTCGTTCTCTTCTGGCAAACGGGCCACAGTGTCACTACCACTTCTTCGACGTTTTGCTTTTGCTGCTGTTTCATTCTCTACCTCATCTTTCCTTTGTCTTTTCTGTGTCCCACCTTGGTTCTCCAGAGCTCTGTTAACATTAATGTTAAGGCTTATTTTCTTTTTGTTTGTGTTGCATGTTGTTTGTCTTTTTTTTTTTTTTACTGCAAGCAGAACCCTTTTTTGTTCACCAAATATGCAAGACACTTTCACTAACATAAATAATCGAGAGATTATCATTTACTAAGCGTAATTCGTTTCGAGTTTCATTGTTAAAAACGTGAAGAAAAGATAATAAGAGAACTTACTGAGCAATCTTCTTGTCACTTGTGTCGGCTGAAGCCATGACCTGTTTAGTGGAGAAGAAAAAAAATACGTCTTTTCTTGAAAATCAGGTCTCAGAAGAGTAGGCAAACGAAAATTTAAAATGGATTCCATAATGCGCAGAATATTCGAAAATTATAAAAGATATTTTATAAAACCACTGTAATCAATTCACGTTCTGTATGTTTATTTGTTCTGTTGAACAAATAAACAGTTGAGCCGAAATCCTAAGGTTTACCGAAATATACAAAATGTAAGCGCGAATGAGTTTGCGTGACTGGAGTAAGTTGCGAACGCTTACACCTTTCTAGCCAAAAGCGAACTATCAACAATCCGCACTTCTACGACACATTTTCATTATTTCAGCTCTAAGAATTTGGTGTTGAATCGAACTGTAATCCCTGGTTGATATTTATCTTTTCTTTCCATAAATTTCTAGAAATTTAAAAGATAAGTAACTGTTGGGTCACTCCTGAAAGCGAAGAACTTAAGAACTGACTGAAGATAGAACTAACAAAGTAGACTGCCAAGATCATGCTCGAGAGAGTCGAAATATAGCACGCTGCCCTTATTCCGTTCTTCTTTGAATCTGAATAAAAAAGGTGAAGGCTTAATCCCGACCTGCACTCAGGCACATGTGAAGATGCCTCAAACAAAATCCGAGAACAGTTTGCTTCACACATAACACACCTTGGACTCTTCTTTAGGTTCAGCATCATGATCGCCTTCTTGTATTTTGGTCACAAACGAGGATAGGAAAGAAATGACTTCATCGAGAGTATGACTGAAAGGAAAACAAGAAACAAGAAAAACGCAATTGCCTCGGATGAGCAATAAGAACAAGTTACTCTTGGACAGCTTTACAGTTAGGGTTAAGGTAATGCTAGAAGGATTACCAAACCTTAAAATATGAAATGATTCACTTTGTGTTCGACTCTAAAAACGTGTATTTGACTGACCTGACTATATCTTTACATGGCACTTCATCTGTCTCAAACACCAGCACGGCCACATCACTTGCTAACTCGTCAAGTTGACCACTCAGTAAGTTTTCATCGTCTACAAGGGTAAAACAAAAAAATTACTAAAAAAATTTCAGTGAACGAAACTCCAATCGACACTACATCGCTTCGAATGCTCCCTTCTTGCTACCACAAGATGGTTGCACTTAAATACAACATAAAAACACTTCCTACACCAAGCGCATCTCGATCCTGATTTGTAAAACCGTCACTAAAGAAGTCACAACAGCGAATCAGATAAGAGGAAAATATCACAAGGGGCCCATGAGAACTTAGAGTAAAAACATGGAAACTGCATGGAGCGCCGGAAAACGCGAATGAAGAAGCCGCGGGTTTTCTGGACCAGTCACTCTGCGAGATAAAGCGAACCCAAAGCAATCAAAGATTTCTTTTGACGCTCAATTCAAAATTGATGAATAGTGTGACTCCGAAGAACGGTGTTAGCATAACCTACGCTCCATGCTATCATATTTAGTATTAAATTCCTCACAAACGGTATAAATTGATATTACTCTTCTTCGTGTCTTAAAAGAGGTATCCATCTTATCTCTTTTTTAGTTTAAAAAACGACCGAAGAATTCGAAAGACTCTAATGTACATTTTCGAAAGGGGTTCACTTGACAGACGTTGAAATCAAAAGAACGTTGATTGGATGCTCAATTTACGTTGTTCAAGAATCGTCATTCGAACTGATTGCAGTTAATCACGAACTTCCATGAGAGGTATTTAATACTGAGGTTATCAAACTTACTAGCTAGACTGGAAGCGTTCTGTGAAACGGCTGTGGCAAGTTCCTGGCAGAATTTCAGCACCAAGCTCTGTTGCCTGGCGCATTCAATCAGTGACTCTTGAATCTAAAGGGAAATGAAATGTTGACTAAATAACTCTGATGAATACCTTAGCTGTCCACTGTTTAAGATTTTCTCTATGGTGCTCAGAAAAAAAAAATTCACTTGGGACAAGCCGTCGGGACTTGGTACAGGGTGACCGGGAACGCTCAATATAGGTGAAAGGGTAAAAATTTCGAGACTTTGAAACCCGAGTACTTAATACAGGGTGACCGCTTAATACAGGGTAACCGCTAAATACGGTGCCGCTTAATATATAGCCTCTTAATATGGGTTTGACTGTTATTGCATGCATTTCACATAAGTACTACTGAGGATAGTCAGAGGCAGCCAGCCACACACCACCATAAAACCAGAAAACGACAGGGTACTTGTCTGATCTTCTGATATTCTTCTTTTGATCTGAAATTAAAAAAACAAACAAACAAACAAATAAAACTTGGTTTAAACGCCAGCGACTAGTTGCTAGTAGCTACGGGAGACGAACCACTAAGTATTGGCAAACAGAAACGCGTTTATAACAAACACGATAAAAACTTAAAACACTGCCACTGTTTAAACCAAAAACCAAATTCTGAAAACTACTATGAAAGAAAATGACCAAAATGAGTAGGAATAATGAGCAGTCGGGTTTAAGGTGAACTCTTGCTTCAGCCAACATACCAACGTAGGAGAATAGCCATCTCCCATTGATCCTTTAAGGATCTTTTTGGATTATTCCCTACGATTGGAATCTCCTACTCTATATGAAGCACGAAACGGTTTTTTTAACCTTTCTGCAAAGCTGTTGAATTTTCACGTTTCTGAGTTCCATTTCTTGAACAAGTTCACCAAAGGCATTTCCCTCGTCACAATCCTACCAAAACAACCAAAAAGGTATAATATATTCATGAAATTGAGAGGGCTTAAAAGACAAAGACTTCACTCCTCTTCCTCTAGTTCAACAAGAAAAGGCAAGAGAAGGTGAGCACAAGGCAGGCAAGAGGGAGAGCCAGAAAAGTAAAGGAGGGGGGGGGGTAGCTTCCAAAAAGCAACTTCTCTGCCTTTTCTACGCAGCTGCTCATTGTCTGACGACTATCACATACCTTACTATACTGCTTCAGTCTCTCAATCCCTATGGTGGCACATTCTGTTCCAGCAGTGAAGATCTTCAATTCGTCAGACAAGAACTCAGAATGTGACACAGGGTTACCAGCCAAGTGGGACCGAACCATAGCCTGGAAACAAAAAGGGTTCCCTCAAACAGTACACTCATGTTGAACATTTTCAAGGACACCTCATCCCGATTAAATTAAACAAAATGTTCCATTACTCACAGTATAGCAATGAATTGCCTTCTCCAAGGGTTCCAAGGAAACTGAATCATCTAACTAAATCAAGTAGATAGCAAAAATAATTCAAATACATTTACATATTTCCTTAAAATGAAAGAAAGAAACCATTAGCATTAACATTGCAAAAACTTACCTTGTCTCTCTCAAAAAAGTCAACGAGTCGATCCACACCCCTCCCATGTGCTGCTAGTTGAGGGTATTTACCAACTAACTTGTTGAACAAACCAGCATCACACTGATCAAGAGCTCTGCAAGCAAATGCATATGGACAGAGTACATTTCATAAAAACATCAACTAATGTGCAGTGACTTGTGGCAAATAATGTCAGTTTTCCAAAAGAACTAGAGCTGAATTTTTCCCTCAAGTGATATAATCAGCATAGTTACCTTATAATATTCTTCACAACTGCTTGGAGAACTGCCAACCGGTAAATGAGTCCAGAAGCAAAACTTAGTCCTTCACCAGTTTCACCTTGAATCTTGGCAGGATCCTCGAGACATTCTGTGATCTCGTACTATATTTATAAAACAATAATTTTTAGTATTAGGAGGTTATCTGCAAGACTTGCACTGGTGTCAGCCTCATTCAATTTTATGTAAATTTCTCTGTAATTGTTAATTGCTTGAGGACAAATAAGGCCATGGATAGATTACGCCCTTTTACAGTTTGGCTTAATGAAGCCTCCAACCAGGTGGCCCTGTGGCATGAGTGTTTCTTTGTCCTCAAGAAAGTTTGAGGCCTTGAGAAAACCAAGTGGGTGAGATGTCCTGCAAGAGGTCTGGCAGTACACACAATGTATTTCTACACTGTGTTAAATTACAGAATGATACACTGGACGCATAAATACAGCTCCCTCCCTTGGTAGTGGTTTTGTGTCCCTGTCCATGAAATAGAGGTGTCTACTGAAAACAAGTTCCTTCTACAGCAAATATGGGAGCAACAAGTTTGCTAGATGGGCTACTATCCTTAAGTTGCAGGATGAGTACCTTACATTGGGTCTGAATGAAATAGGTTTCACTGTAAATTTGATCCATCTTGAATACTCATGAATTTATTCACATACCAAATATCTTCAGTTGATGATTAAGATTCTCAGGTTTTTACCATGACATCATTCACTATTTATCATAAATTAACATCTGGAAAAATTAACCAAATTTTACAATTCAAATGAATGTGACTCACCTTTTGTCTCAGTCGAGACTGCAACCATTCGGTCTTAAAACTGAGAAGTGGCATAAGTTGCAGCAATAAGAAACTCTCACTGTCACCTGCAACAGAATATAATGTGTTAGCACAATTTAAAATTCTTGTGTTCTTAGGCAAGACACTCTCACAGTGCTTCTCTTCACCCAGGTGTACAAATGGGTACCTGCAAATATGCTGGGGGTAAACCTGCGATGGACTAACATCCGATCAAGGGGGGAGTAGCAATACTCCTAGCCGCTTCATGCTAAGAAAACTGGAGTTAAGCACCAGCCCCATGGGCCACTTGGGCCCATGTAAAGGCTTACTATTACTTTACAATTTAAAATGTGCCTCTTGGAGGTTAAGCCTTCAATAACTTGAAACCCCCTCATCTTAATTCAAGTGAAAATAAAAACCAGCGACCATTCAAAAGACCTACATGTTGCACCAAGACTGACATGTTAGAGAAAAGGAAAAGCATTACAATTTCCTAAAGAAACTGTACTGCATCATCAGCTAAGTAAAGTATCAAGTTCCTTATAACCAGAAAGTTGTTCAGAAAAAAGTTCACCACAGAAACTAGCTTTCAAAAGCTGGAATGAAAGCCTGTTAAGAGAGCAATCAGGAATGGAGTAACAGTTAATGGCACATTCATGAGCAAATGGCAGCAAGGGTCCCTTGCATTCTGTCCATTTTATGCTGATAACTAAGGGCTTTAAATAATGGTTATTTGAAATAACAACTCCCTGTAAAAACCTGTTGGCTGACAACCAACTGATGACTGACAGACAGTAGGCCGACAGTAAGTCGGCGGTCAGCAAACAGTTGGCCAAAAGTCAGCAGAAGTGAGCAGTTCTTCACAGTTACCCAAAGAGCAGCAGTCTATATTAAAGTTCTTGCTGTAGTATGATTCTCTACCCAGAACTCATATGAAGTATGTAAATGAATCCAAGTTAGGATTAATTGCTAGCCCAATCAGCGACAGCATTGCACTGCTAAAGAAATGTGAGATGTTTAGATACTGTACCATTCAAGAATAAAATTCCTACAAGAATTACATGATTGGCTTCCTTCCTTTATATCATTAAAGCACAGTTCAAATAAATCTGCCTGATTTCTTTCACTAAAATAAAATTATTAGAAAATTACACCTCACCCCCTTTCCTAGAGAATGACGTAGATGGAAATGACTGGTGCATTCTTATCTTTTCATTTGCCTGCTGCATATCAAACTTTCTTGATTCATTCTCTATAGTCTGTATATAAATGTATACATTTAAGATTAACAGTGCAAGTTTAGTATCAATTATATAGTTGAACCTGTGCATTCATCCTGTATTAAATAGTCAGTTGTCAAAGTTCTAAACTTTTTTCTCCTTAGTTACTACCACAGTTTGTAATTTTCACTTCTTTTAGCAGATGTAGTCACACTTAACTAAGTCCAAACAGCCTGTTTCTACTGTCTTCAGTCTGTATTGAATGGTCACTTGTAGTGGGACCACTCAAATAAAACTAAGAATAATCTTCAAGAAAAATTTTATCCAGGTTTACCTCCTGAAATCAATGTAAGAAGTATTTTTGCCTGAGTTTTTGTATATTAAGAGGTCAATTACAGAATAAAATGGTGTTTTTTAAAACAGCCCTTTTCTGTGGAACCTGTACCAAGTGGTCAACCTGTAATAAGGGGTCATCCACCATTCCCCATGGGTGACCTCTTAATAAAAGTTAAACTATATAATCATGTATGTATACCAGTTGGTCACTAGTAATGAAGATCTTCAACAAAGTTTCAAAGTC